TGATTATTATCAATGCTGAACACAGTTGTGCTGCACAATATTTTTTTGTGGAACCGTGATACAATTTATTTCAAATTTTATTAAAAATCGTAATTATTCCAAACCTTTGAGCAGTAGTGTATAATATCTGTCTAAAATGATACTTTAGCAAGCTTGCAATTGGCTGAGCAAGAGTTGGTGGTGTGTGTTATACAGAGAAACCTGGCCTTCCTCACTGTTAAACCAGAACAGACACATTTTCAGACATTCTGGACGCAAAAGCCGACAGAGTGGGCAGAGGTTTTGCAAAGACGAGCCCAGATTTACTGATCAAAGGTGATTTCATCAGAAACACACACACACACACACACACCTCATCTTTACAGAAGGAAGACTCGTGGAGTCAGTATTAAGATCTTAGACAGATGACACACTCCAGCGCTGCTCCGAATGAAATACTAGCTTACTGCTTACTAAAAACTGGCAAAACACTCATCAAGCAGTAGGCATCTTGCAAACATTTCCAGCAGTAGTATTGCCACGTAGCGTGAAAAAGAAGTGCACTTGAACATACTTTTGAAAGAGTACTTCAGAATGTTTTGACCCACTTTAGGACTTCAGTACATCTTTATATGTTATTTCATAATGACTTGCATTGTCTTTGAAATATGATTAAAGTGTTACTGCTGAATGTCCTGACAAACACAAGCTAAAATATACTTTAATGTCATTTCTGTTGAAACTTAAAAATAAAAGCGATTGTTTCACACTTGCAATTCAATTTTTGCGCAAAAGAAATGTCTTGCCTTTCGGCAGTCTGATGAAATGAGGTCAAAAAAAGACAATATGTTTTTTGACATTGATATGAATCAAGCACATTGCATTGTGGGACACCGTACAGCAAAAAGTATGTTTACACGACGCAAAATTACGGTATAAAATAGGGCTTGAAAAATGTTTTCTTTTTCCACATTTGGTCAGTACAAAGGTGATTAACGCTGAAAAACTGAAGCCAAATGTTACTTTATAGTTAATGTTAGGATAAAACCGGATAAAAAAAAAAAGTAACTGCGATTGAATTCAGACTGTTCTCGAAATCACGAATCTCACAGTTTGGATTTTTTTTCTTGCAGTTTTCTCAGAATTGCGAGACATAAATGCAGAATTGCGAGAAAAAGTCATAATTGCGAGATTTAAACTCGGAATTACAAGAAAGAAAATCACAATTCTGAGTTTATATCTCTATTTTTCTCCGAATTGCGAGTCTATTAAATACTTAAAAGTTACAATTGCGAGAAAAAAGCGCAATTACATTTTTTATTCCGTGATGGAAAAATGCTTAACAAAGATATTTGTTAAACCATTTTTCTTACAGTAAACTGCGCAACAGTACTGAATAGCTGAGCTTAGAACAATATATTCAACACAAACACATTTAAAGTGCTTAAAACAAACTGTTTTTTACGGAGCCCCGCACATGACATGCAAGAAAAAATAAATAA